TTTAATTCATAGAAACTACATATAATTCTGGATTTAACTCTTACCTTACTGTACCAGCACACAGACTCCATCGAGAGCAGATTCCATTAGCTCCTAGAGGCGACCAATACTACGAACAGAACTGCTTAATTCCCAATCGCTATCAGATTAAGGAAAAATAGAAGGACCTGGAAAATAATAAGAGATGGTGGCAGGTTAAACAAGGATACCTTTAAATAAGCATTTACAGGAGAATCAAAGGATGCAAAGATAACAGTTTAACAAAAAGTCCCATTCGCATACCATAACTACTTTACATTTAGATGTGCTTTATTGCTCCACCTTACAGGTGCTCAGAGAACCCTGTGAGGTATTGTGGCTGTAGGGCTCCAGATGAGGTGTCTACAGTCCATACTAAAGGAAATTCTTCACACCCAGGAGCAGTATTTTGGAAAACAATCATTTTTTTGGGCCTTTATTTTGAGAATGCATGTAGGTGATGAGAAGGGTGACTGTGAAATGCTCGGAGAGGTTATTTGTCTGATGACATATGAGGTGAAACCCTATGAGACACCACCAAATATAAACGCAATGGCGTTTACTCACTAAACTCAGAACTGTAGCAATTTAAAATCTGAGTCACAATGTAAGATTTCTGTAGCCCAGCTATGACAACTCCAATTCAGCTAAAAATTTAGCATTTCAGTTTTAATTTGCTACGAGTCTTGTTAGTAACCCGTTTCTCTTACCATAGGGACCTACTAACCCTGAAAATTCCATAAACCTAGCAAATACAATTGGTACCATAATAAAGAGGGGTGTAATAATGTTGTATCTTATGAATGCGGTCAGCGGTTTAGAATGTTTGCCATTTAAAAGTAGAGTTTTTGTGCCTCTCCCCCACCCCCACCCTTCCTCCCACATATGGCATAGAGGATGTCGTGCATTGAGACTGCCCGCCCACGCTCATCCCAGGGTCCCAAGTAGACCGTACTGAGACAACCTAATAGGAGATAGCCGATAGGGCAGAAAACAGCCGACAAGGGCTCCAGTAGCGAACATGCAGGGCCAACCCAACTCGCGACAACGCTCCCAGGACTCACGCTCATAGACCTTCAGGGTCCAAAAAACACAAAGTTGGGAGGTCATCCGGGACAGGGACACGCACAGGAGGGGGAAGGATAAGCCGATAAAAGCTACTGTAATCGACAGGCGTACATGACACTGGGGCCCTGGAACGCAGAACGCAGAAACCTAAATCAAACGCACTAACAGACATCTAGGGCTTGCCGGTGGGTTGGAAGCTCAAAGTAGGGAACTATATCGGAGGCTCTTACCTTAGGTAGCTCTATTTAGTTACTATTTGTCTAGTATTGTTTAGTTTTGTTTTGTTCTGTATTACATTTTATACTTTACTTTATTTTTATCTGTGGGCATGAAAAGCTCATCAAAACAGAAACGGCGACACTGCACGGCATAACAGAACCTGGCATTAACTTATAAAACCGCTTATCTTCTGTATAATGCATTGTTTGTCTCACTCACTATTGGCCCCTGCGCAAGCTACTGAATACTGCCGTGCCGTAATATGTGTCGAATCAAAAATAAATTTATCTTGTTGATTTTGAAGCCCTATGACTGTGTTCTTCACTTTGATGATCTCAGTCAATCCAATGCTTTCCCATAGGAAACCATTGGGAGGCTATTGTGCATGTGCGGCAAAAAGCTGCACGGCCAAACAGCATCTTGAGCGTTCAGCACCTCCATGCAGACCCAACCTAATACACTGGCCACAAATCCAATACACTTGCCCTCCCTCCACTCTAATACACTGCCTCCTCCCCTCATTCTAATAGACTGCCCCCAAATCCAACACACTGCCCCCTTCACCCAATCTAATACACTCCCCCCTTCACCCAATCTAACACACTGTGCTCTCCCCTCACTCTAATAAACTGTGCTCTCCCCTCATTCTTATACACTGCCCCCAAATCCAATACACTGCCCCCTTCCCCCATTCTAATACACTGCCCCCAAATCCAATACACTGCCCATCCACCCATTCTAATACACTGCCCCTAAATCCAATACACTGCCCATCCACCCATTCTAATACACTGCCCCTAAACCCAATACACTGCCCAAATCAATACACTGCCCATCCACCCATTCTAATACACTGCCCCTAAATCAATACACTGCCCATCCACCCATTCTAATACACTGCCCCTAAATCCAATACACTCCCCCCTTCACCCAATCTAACACACTGTGCTCTCCCCTCACTCTAATAAACTGTGCTCTCCCCTCATTCTTATACACTGCCCCCAAATCCAATACACTGCCCCCTCCCCCCATTCTAATACACTGCCCCTTCACCCAATCTAATACACTGCCCCCTCCCCTCATTCTCATACACTGCCCCCTCCCCTCATTCTAATACACTACCTCCTCCCCTCATTCTAATACACTGCCCCTTCACCCAATCTAATACACTGCCCCCTCCCCTCATTCTAATACACTGCCCCCAAGTCAAAAAGTGCTCTAAAAAACACGAGGACTGAGGGGAAGACTATCTTGCTGGGTGCATTCCGCCTCTTCTGATGGGCTGCTGTGAAATATCCAGAGATGCAATATGTGTCCATGCAGCTTGTCCCCTTCTGTTGTTGCATGCTGTGTAACACGTTTTTGGTTTTTATATTGCGTATTTATCGGAAGGAATTCAGCATGATGACAACTTCCTCGATCAGGTCATTTATTCCGGGTTTGTGAAGAGTGCAGCCATTATTCAGTGATTGTAGGACTCGACAAAAAAAGTCTTCCCTGGAAGCTGATGTGTTCAGCCCTCGGAGACTCCGTTAATCCATACTTTGCTACAAAAGAAAATGCTTCCTAGACTTTTACCTTCTCTCAATTAAAAAAAGAACCTTATAAAAAACAATCAAACAATGTTATTCATTTTAGATTTATTAGCATTACACAGCACTTTACAATTATTTAACAACATGCGATTGATTGACAGATAAAAGTAATGCTGACTGACACAGAAGGTGAAGAAGGCTCTTTGAATAATGATGCACTTGCACAGCTTGTTGTATGTTATTTTACTCCTACAAATAAAGGTTAAAATGCTACACTACTGTGTATTATACCATTATTCCAAAGAGAGAGTATCCATAATGGTACAATAAATAAAGTGCTGATCTCAATGCCAGGATATCGTTACGTGGATTCGCCCTCTCCCTGCACCTCGAACAAG